AAAAGCGTCGGGCGCTCAATATACGAAAAATATGGCACAAAGCACCCACGCTTTTTTCACAATAATACTAGTATTTTTCGTTTATTATTGTTTTAAGCTTATTTTATTTCACAATAATACTATTATTGTTCGTTCATTATTGTTTTAAAGTTATTTTATTTCACAATAATACTAGTATTTTTTGTTAATTATTGTTTTAAGATTATTTTAAAAATTATTTTTAACGTTTTAGTCGATGTGCTATAGAAGCGTGTTCNTACAATTGGTGTAGACAAAGTAAAAATTAATAATTGTTTTTCGTTTCACGATTTTGAATGTATATTTTTACTTTTTAGTTTCATATGTTATGAAAGCGTGTTTTTTAGTTTTTTTTAACTATACTTTTTTCACATAAATAGCTCGGTATGTATGTTTTTGGTTAAAATATTGTTAAGCACAGGGGCACTAAATATTATAGAGCGTACCCGAACCGGTTAAAAACACTTAATACTGATCAGACTGTTTTGTGTAATGCCGTGTAAATAGAGTCACTGGAGGTGGGAGGGTTCGCCTGCACAAAACCAGTGATCTATGTTGTGAATAAATGTGTAAGTGTGTTTTTGTTTTGTGTGTTTAAAACTCTTAAATTAATTAATGTAGATTAAACTGAATACAATATTATACTATGCTATAAAATGTGTTTATGTGCGTGTGTGGTGTGTAACAGCTGATCGGCCGGTAGTACATATAACCACACTATCGATGTAGTGAGAATCATACGTTGACTGTTTGAACCGGATCGAGTACGTAATTATAGTTAACAACGGTATTGTTGTTAACAAATATTATAGTATGTAATGTAACTATAATCATTATGAAATCGATCATGTTTTGACGATTCTTATGAGTTATTATTTCTTAGTCGAATCATTTCATCTAATGCTTCACTGTTACATGGGGTTTTACCTGTCATCTTTGAGCAATCAAGTTCTTCAATTCGAATACCGTCCAATGATCTGCACCGACTAAGTGCTACATATGCTTGTCCAGCAGCAAACATCCGTGAGCCCAGATAAATGACTGCATGATCAACTGTACAGCCTTGCATCTTATGAACGGTTGATGCCCAACTCAGGATTAGCGGTAACATTCGTCTCTCAGCAGTTCCATAGCTATATTTTGCTGGAAATTGTATCGATATTGGCTTAATTACGTGTTCACCATCTGAACCGAAATTAATACGGACTGATGGGATGTCATCTGCATATACTTGGTCCCTACGAAAATTTGGCCATATAATTTCTGTAATGAAGCNGAAAATTTGGCCATATCATTTCTGTAATGAAGCCCATGTTACCATTCACTAAACCCTTTGACACATCAATGTTCGATCTTAACATCACTTTAGCTCCGACGAATATTTTCAATATATTAGGAAGACCTCCTCTTTTATTGATATCATTAGGTATTACAGAGTTTAGGTCTTTATTACCTAAATTTCGTGTAGCATCAACGAGTTGGTCTTGTGCTTTAATTGTATAAATAACAGTCCCTTTATCCTAAAAACTCTGAAGAACTTTTTCGTTATGTCTAGCAACTTGGTCATTTGTCGGATAAATCCTCAAAGCTCTCTAATTGAAAATTCTTCAGTAGTATCTGCTGAAACTTTACCAAGAAGAACTTCAAGATGCTTAGACGTTAATTTTCCAACTCTTAGGGCGTTAAGCACATCTATGAATGTCGTGTCTCCTTGTTGGCGCATGTTTTGTTTGAGTTCAACCAGGCGGAATTGCCGCCACAAATGTGTAGCAGGTTTCATGTGTTCTGGTTGTTGAAATACTTGATGTCCTCGGACAGGTAGTAACTGCATTAGATCACCAAAGAGTAAAACATTTATGCCTCCAAAACAAGTGGTCGGGCTTTTCAATTGATGCAAATNAGAGTAAAACATTTATGCCTCCAAAACAAGCGGTCGGGCTTTTCAATTGACGCAAATGAGAGTCGATCATGCAAAGCATCTCATAAGGTACCATAGAAATTTCATCTATGAACAGAAACTCAACGTTTTGCCATAATTGGCGCATCCCTCTCAAATAATTACCAGTTAGAAGCAACGATAACTCCATCTTTTTGTACTGGTAGTTTTAGCAGACGGTGTAGCGTAGAGCCACCGACCAATCGTGCTGCAACTCCAGTGAGGGCACCAATTTTCACAACCGATTTTCCATAACATCGGTTAACTTGGTTATTTAAAAGATTAAAGAGGAAAGTCTTTCCGGTACCTGCTCCACCAGTTACAAAAATTTTTTCTCGTTTAATATCACCGTTTAGCTGATTTTTGATACTCTCTGTAATGAAGATGAACAATTGTCTTTGATCAATATTCATAGCCTGCTGTGCTCTCTAGAATTGATCATTGCTCATTTCTGTCTCTGGTAATTCTTCTTCTCCAAGTTCAGGATTGATAATCTCTGGCTGTTTTAAAATTTCAAAGGCATGTACTTGATTGAATGCGTTTTCAAGCTGTTGGTCCCTCTCTCGAAATTGGTACATATGTCTGCTCATTTCCTTTAACTGATCCTCTCGATCTAAGAAGGCCTCTTTTGCATTATTAAAACCTTCGAGTAGTTCAGTTTCCGAACGGTAAGGCATATATTGAATGAGTAAGCTGTAGAAAAAGTTTTCTGGATCTGAAGTTGCTATAAAGTATGGTACCCTCACAACTGCGGGAACATTCCTCACAACCATTTTGCTCTTATCCAACAAGGTGATAAGTTGGCGACGCGTATTTGGAAGTTCTTCATAAGCATCATGATCAACACTTTCTTCGGTCTCGCTTACCTTTTTCGGATAAAATGGTTCAAACAACATTGCAAACTCTGTGAGGCTCATGTTCGCAAAATCGTAGTCAGGATGTTGTAATGGACGTTTCTTATATCTTTCAAAGATATTGCTACAATAACCAGTTGCGTGTCCACTTTTGTCGAATTGCAATACTCTGTAACGCTGTTCTGGCTTTCTTGTGTTCAGAAAAATACAGCTTCGCGAGCTATCTCGTAATGGGATATGACAAAGTCGATACGCACATTCTGCAGCCGATACTTGTCGTTCATGAAGAATCTTCATACATATCCTGAACAGTTTGCGTGAAATATCAGTCTCTTCACGTTGAATTTGCTGTATTGCTTGCGCTATTCCAGAATCTACACCTTCAGGTTCTGCTTTCGATAGATACTTTGCTATATAGTACGCTATCGCTTCGTTTGATCCGCACGGCTGAATATCCATGTTGCCTGTCCACAATCTTAATAACTCTGGGTGGTAATTATTTAACCACGCATCTTCTTTTCGAAGCTTAAGTAAACAAAGTCTACCTCCGTTACGAAGAAAATCATCTGAAGAATGAGACACAATTCATGTTTCGTTACATTCTTGACGTGGAAAGTTAAATCGGCATCTTACAGAGGTATTATTTTTAGTACAAGTATGTGTATGCCGATGAATTTGACATTTCTTAACTAGATCGTGAAGCTCTGGATCTTCTTCTTCTGTAGGCATTTTACAACAACAGTTACGATCGAGAAGAAGTTTCCCTTCTTCTGAATCAAACTCTGGATGATTTTCAATCCAAATCACCATATGAAGGTGAGGACTGCCCCGATTCTGGAACTCAATACGCCACCAATGGTCTTTCACTTTACCCCCAAATATGTCATCATTGTTTTTGATAAATTTCATTAGAGCATTTACTCTAACCATGAAATGTCGACTCAAAATTACTGGGTACTTTTCGATAAGTCTTTGAGTCTCATAAATGTCGAGCGTATTAGGATCAACATCAGGTCTACCATCAGCTATTAACAAAGCTTTTCGTTGATCTAACCAGTTGAGATCATTTGAGCTAAATGTTACAAAGTAGGTTGGAGCTCCTAAACATCTAATTTGAGCTAATAGCTCGTTCAAGGCTGATCTCCAATAAGCTGCAGAACCTCTCAAATTTTTCACATACAGATGGACGTCTTCGACTGCTCCTTCTTGATTAACGATTTTCTTACCACATGCTGATATAGTGCTTTTGATACGATAATATTCAAAGAAGGATAAGGCATAAAAGAGATAGTCGTTGCGTTGAAATCTTGTATCACTTCCCAAAATTCTAAACTGAAAGTAGTCTAATGCTGTAATATTTACGGGTCTTTGCTCTTTAAAACCGTACTTTCCATAAGGAAATAAGAAGTACCAGGCTAATTCTTCTGCTTTCAGTTCATGTCCCACATTAACGATATTGTCCTTCGTTTTACGGGTGATCTCATTGAGATTCCGTGAAACCTGTAGTTCATCTTCCACATTGGGTTGCATTACATCAATCGGTGCCATCACTGATGTCTGCAATGGAATTATTTGATCAGTTAATTTCTGTTGAGAAGTGATCGTTTCAGACGCTGTCGTTAACGACGCAATACTCTGCTGTGTTTCTGTTTCCTCAGGGCCATTATCTATATCAATGACTTGAACGTCAACGTAATCAAGAGTATACTGTACATTTATGCTGCCTGTTGCACGTTTGCAGATCCTCACAAACTCTCCTAAATTATCACATTCGATGATGCAAGCTTTTCCGTTGCTGTCGTTCGCTCTGGATCCCTTTAAACCACAAGAATGTGAATTGCTGAAGTAATATTTTCCATTGTAATGCATCACTCCGAATGATTGTCCACCTGTTATCAATATGCCGGCGCTATATACCATGAACAGATCTTCCAAACCTTGATGAAGGGTACGTCCAAGGTTTGCTACATTATACTTATCATTCAAGCTTCCATATATGCTTGGTTCATCATCAAAGGTGATCTCAAATCTTTTGCCAAATGCGATCAAATCATCTTTGACCGCATTGAAATTTCGCACCAGTAGGTATCCATCATCTTCAATAGGATATGCCGATAGACTTCTCTCCGTTTGAAATCTTATTTCGCTGTAGATTTGGTCCCCTGTTATCATATTCAGATTGAGGGTGTTTGTCGACCAGTGTTGTGGTGTAAGAATACTAGCTCTTAGGATGTTGGACAATGCCATTGCACAGCATTGTACGCCTGCATATCCGGATGTGAATATGGAATCGTTTCCTTGATGCCATGAAGCACGTACAATTCTCGCATAATGGCTGATGCTCATGTAAGCACTAGTTCCCTCGGTAGGTTCTTCACTAGTCTCCTCAGAAACTTCTAGTGGTGCTTCTTCTACTCTTATGATATCCTCATCATTCATTACGACGTTTTGATCGATATTGACGTCTTTATAAAGTGGATTGTTAGCAACTAACCAATGGAGTGCATCATATACTTTTTGTCTAGATACTGAAAACTGTCGTGTAACGTTAATATTTTCAAGACGCTCAGTAATGATAACTATTCCAGCATTATTTGTGGATCTTGGTAACATCATTGAAAGATTTTCAGTAACTTCAAAAACATCCTGAGCGAACAATACTGCTTGACCCCGAAAACTATATTGCCCAAATACACCACTAAGTTTTATAATTTTAACAAATGGTATAATGCGTGAAATCAACCTCTGCTCGGCTTGTGATAACTCCGCAATCACTTCTGGAATAAAGCCTGGATCTAGATTATTCCAGTAAGACTTAGATGGTGCAACATTTTTCTTTGAAGTCAAATGTGTCTTGCAACGATTGCAAACAACCAAGCAATTCTTTTGTTTTAATTCGTCAGGCAAATATGGTGCTGTTTTAGTATCTACAATCCACTTAGAAATTTGATGTTGATAGCACCGTTTAGTGCAAATTTCACATATCTTATCACAAAATGTGTTAATTGTCTGCCTGAAGCCTGTCATATTGGCACTACTTAATCTTCTGGACTCAGCATTTCGTTGCTGCATTTGCTGCAAACGAGCTTTACTGGTTTGCTCCGATTCCGAGGCTCGGATTTCAGCCAAATGTTGCAAACGAGCTTCTTTGGCCTGCTCCGATTCCGAGGCTCGGCTTTCAGCCAAATGTTGCAAACGAGCCTTTCTGGCTTGCTCCGATTCCGAGGCTCGGATTTCAGCCACATGCTGACGTAAATGCTGCAAACGAGCCTTTCTGACTTGCTCCGATTCTGAGGCTACGCTTTCAGCCACATGCTGACGAACTTGCTGTAAACGAGCTTCTTTGGCCTCCTTTGATTCCATGGCTCTATAATTTTTCATATAAAGCCTTTTTTTCTCTTTTCTTTTCTCTAATTCGTCGCCTGTGAGTTCCGCAATTCTTTTAACTGACTTTTGACTACTTTTCTTTAACGTTCTTGTTGTCTTATCAGACAACTTACTTCCTGTAACATTATACTCTCCAGTAGCCAAGTTGCCCACTACTGAAGAGCTGCAGTCGCATGATAACGACGCCTGCGAGCCTGCTTTCTCACCCTGACCAGACGCCGATACTGGGACTCCGAATCCCTGCATCGTTAAGTACTCATCACTTGTACTTGCCATGACGGCATACACGTCGTTAACCCAGGAACTTTGCCAGATACTTCTGTTGCCCGCCGTCACCACGTGGAGGTGCCCTGGTTACAAACACAAGCTACTAAGTCTTAATATGCATCATTCTTTCCGTTTGCAATGACCGTAAAACTAGACCGCCGTTGCCTAACCCTTGACTGGAGCTGAATCATGATGCCTTACTAGTTTCTTCTGCGCAGAAAGAGAGTCTGAGAAACGGCTACCACATCCAAGCAAGGAAGCAGGCACGCAAATTATCCACTCCCGACACGTGAAGGTAATGAGTCATACGAGGCCCCGTAATCGGAATGAATACACTTTATATCTCTTAATGAGAATAAAGCGTGTTAATATATAAATTTTAGTAGT